CACACACGTCAACACACACACACACACACGTCAACACACACACACGTCACACACACACACACACACGACACACACACACGTCAACACACACACACACACACACACACACACACACACACACGTCAACACACACACACGTCAACACACACACACACACACACACGTAGACACACAACACACACACACACGTCAACACACACACACGTCAACACACACGTCAACACACACACACGTCACACACACACACACACGTAACACACACACACGTACACACACACACACACACACGTACACACACACACACACACACACACACACACACACACACACACACACACACACACACACACACACGTCAACACACACACACACGTCAACACACACACACACACACACACACACACACGTCAACACACACACACGTCAACACACACACACGTCACACACACACACACACACACACACACACACACACGTCACACACACACACGTCAACACACACGTCACACACACACACACACACACACGTCACACACACACACACACACGTCAACACACACACACACGTCAACACACACACACGTCACACACACACACACACACACGTCAAACACACACACACACACACACACACGTCAACACACACGTCACACACACACACACACGTCACACACACACACACACACACACGTCAACACACACACACACACACACACACGTCACACACACGTCAACACACACACACACATACACACACACACACACACACACACACGTCACACACACACACACGTCACACACACACACACACACACGTCAACACACACACACACACACACACACACACACGTAACACACACACACAACACACACACACACACACACACAACACACACACACACACACGTCAACACACACACACACGTCACACACACACACACGTCACACACACACACACACACACACGTCAACACACACACACACACACACACACACGTCACACACACACACACACACACGTCACACACACACACACACGTCACACACACACACACACGTCACACACACACACACACGTCAACACACACAACACACACACACACACACACACACGTCACACACACACACACACGTCACACACACACCACACACCACACACACACGTCAACACCACACACACACACACACACACACACGTCACACACACACACACACGTCAACACACACACACGTCAACACACACGTCACACACACACACACACACACACGTCAACACACACACACACACGTCAACAACACACACACACACGTTCAACACACACACACGTCACACACACACAACACACACACACACACACACACACACACGTCAACACACACACACACGTCACACACACACACACACGTCACACACACACACACACACGTCAACACACACACACACACGTCAACACACACACACACACGTCAACACACACACACACACGTCACACACACACACACACACGTCACACACACACACACACACACACACGTCACACACACACACGTCAACACACACACACACACGTCACACACACGTCACACACACACACACACACACACACGTACACACACACACACGTAACACACACACACGTCAACACACACACACACGTCACACACACACACACACACACACACACACACACACGTCACAACACACACACACACACACGTCACACACACACACACACACACGTCACACACACACACACACACGTCAACAACACACAACACACACGTCAACACACACACACACACACACACGTTCACACACACGTCAACACGTCACACACACACACACACACGTCAACAACACACACACACACGTCACACACACACACACACACACGTCAACACACACACACACACGTCAACACACAACACACACACACGTCACACAACACACACACACACGTCACACACACGACTCAACACACACGTCAACACACACACACACGTCAACACACACACACACGTCAACACACACACACACACACGTCAACACACACACACACGTCAACACACACCACACACGTCAACACACACACACGTCAACACACACACACGTCAACACACACACACGTCAACACACACACACGTCAACACACACACACGTCAATACACACACACACACGTCAACACACGTCAACACACACACGTCACACACACACACACACACACACGTCAACACACACACACACACACACACACACACACACACACACACACACGTCACACACACACAACACACACACACACGTAAACACACACACACACACACGTCAACACACACACGCCAACGCCATCGCCGCGCCCACTGGGCTCGTCAAGACGCCCAATCAGAGCGCAGGATGTGAGCGCGCTCTGTTTGTGTTTCAGGTTTTTGACGACTGTCACGACGGCGGCGAGATCTCCCCGTCCACCTGCGTCTACCTGAGCGAGTGGCTCGACTTCTGACATCACTTCCTGTTTCCTGTTTGAGGAGCGCCGCGTCCTGACATCACTTCCTGTTCACCGATGCGCGAGGAAGGACCTGAGGCGCTCGAGGAAGGACCTGAGGCGCTCGAGGAAGGACCTGAGGCGCTTTAACCTCAGATTTATGACAGACTCAGTTTGTTCTGTTTTTGTTTTGTTTCTGCAGTGAGACGAACTTTTCAGACTGGACTTCGATACTAACAAATCAAACCGATACTCGATACCATCATTATTTTTCAATTCTTTTAAAACCCCTCAGACAATTTTATTTAGAGACTCTAGAGCTGGAATCGAAAATCAGACCCTAAAAGACTAAACCGGGACTAAACTGTGGAGATTGTCTAAACAAAGAGTCAATGTGGGATCGGTATCGGGTATCAGTATCGGGTATCGAGTATCGGGTCTGTTCTGTGCTCTTTCGCTCGTGAGACTCGTCAGTTTTGCTGTAAATAAAAAAGAGAAAAACTCTTCTGCTGTAAAAATGTACAAAGCTTCAGTTTGAAAATATTTTTGAAAAGTGAATTTATTTAAAAAACAGATTCTGAGTAAAATGAATCAAAGAAATAAAAGTGAAATGTCCCAGAATCCTTCTGTTCTGTTCTGTTGTTTCCTGGAGTCGAGTTTTTGTTTCTTTCACGTTTCACACAAACTGCACATTTAACACGACAAAACTCTGTTCCACCTCGTGATGTCATCGATCCAAAAAAAGTCATGGAAATTGAAAATGTTATTTTCCAGGCCTGGAAAAGTCCTGGAATTTTGTAAATTGAATGAAAGTTTTGGAAAAGTCATTGAATGTCAGTGTTCAGTGTTGTGTGTTCAGTGTTGTCTGTTGTGTGTTGGGTGTGTTCAGTGTTGTGTGTGTTCAGTGTTGTGTGTTGTGTGTGTTCAGTGTTGTGTGTGTGTTCAGTGTTGTGTGTGTTCAGTGTTGTGTGTTCAGTGTTGTGTGTGTGTTCAGTGTGTGTGTGTCAGTGTTGTGTGTGTTCAGTGTTGTGTGTTCAGTGTGTGTGTTCAGTGTTGTGTGTTGTGTGTGTGTTCAGTGTTGTGTGTTTGTGTGTGTTCAGTGTTGTGTGTGTTCAGTGTGTGTGTTGTGTGTGTTCAGTGTTGTGTGTTCAGTGTTGTGTGTTCAGTGTTGTGTGTTCAGTGTTGTGTGTTCAGTGTTGTGTGTTCAGTGTTGTGTTCAGTGTTGTGTGTTCAGTGTTGTGTGTTCAGTGTTGTGTGTTCAGTGTTGTGTGTTCAGTGTTGTGTGTTCAGTGTTGTGTGTTCAGTGTTGTGTGTTCAGTTGTGTGTGTGTTCAGTGTTCAGTGTGTGTTCAGTGTGTTGTGTTCAGTGTGTGTGTTCATTGTGTGTGTGTGTGTTCAGTGTTGTGTGTGTGTGTGTGTTTCAGTGTTGTGTGTGTTCAGTGTTGTGTGTGTTGTGTGTGTGTTCAGTGTGTGTCAGTGTTGTGTGTGTTCAGTGTTGTGTGTGTTCAGTGTTGTGTGTTCAGTGTGTGTGTTCAGTGTTGTGTGTTCGGTGTGTGTTCAGTGTGTGTGTTGTGTGTGTTCAGTGTTGTGTTGTGTGTGTTCAGTGTTGTGTCAGTGTGTGTGTTCAGTGTGTGTGTTCAGTGTGTTTGTGTGTGTTCAGTGTGTGTGTTCAGTGTGTGTTCAGTGTGTGTGTTCAGTGTTGTGTGTTGTGTGTTGTGTGTGTCAGTGTTTGTGTGTTCAGTGTTGTGTGTGTGTGTGTGTTGTGTGTGTGTTCAGTGTTGTTGTGTGTTCAGTGTGTGTGTTGTGTGTGTTGTGTTGTGTGTTGTGTGTGTTCAGTGTGTTGTTTGTGTGTTCAGTGTGTTGTGTTGTGTGTTCAGTGTGTGTGTTCAGTGTTGTGTGTGTTCAGTGTTGTGTGTGTTCAGTGTTGTGTGTGTTCATGTGTGTGTGTGTGTTCAGTGTGTGTGTGTGTTCAGTGTTGTGTGTTCAGTGTTGTGTGTGTTCAGTTTGTGTGTTGTGTTGTGTGTGTTCAGTGTTGTGTGTTGTGTGTGTTCAGTGTTGTGTGTTCAGTGTTGTGTGTGTTCAGTGTTGTGTGTTGTGTGTTCAGTGTTGTGTGTGTTCAGTGTTGTGTGTGTTCAGTGTTGTGTGTGTGTGTGTGTTCAGTGTGTGTGTGTTCAGTGTGTGTGTGTGTGTTCAGTGTTGTGTGTTGTGTGTGTTTCAGTGTGTGTGTGTGTTGTGTGTGTTCAGTGTTGTGTGTTTGTGTGTTGTGTGTGTTCAGTGTTGTTGTGTTCAGTGTTGTGTTCATGTGTGTGTGTTGTGTGTGTTCAGTGTGTGTGTGTGTTCATGTGTGTGTGTGTGTTGTGTGTTCAGTGTGTGTGTGTTCAGTGTTGTGTGTGTGTTCAGTGTTTGTGTGTGTTCAGTGTGTGTGTGTTCAGTGTGTGTGTGTTGTGTGTGTGTTCAGTGTTGTGTGTCAGTGTTGTGTTCAGTGTGTGTGTGTTCAGTGTGTGTGTGTTCAGTGTTGTGTTCAGTGTGTTCAGTGTGTGTGTGTGTGTGTGTGTGTTCAGTGTTGTGTGTGTGTGTGTGTTTCAGTGTTGTGTGTGTTCAGTGTGTGTTGTGTGTGTGTTGTGTGTTCAGTGTGTGTGTTTCAGTGTTGTGTGTGTTCAGTGTGTTGTGTTTGTGTGTTGTGTGTGTGTTCAGTGTTGTGTGTTGTGTGTGTTCAGTGTGTGTGTGTGTGTGTGTGTGTGTGTTCAGTGTGTGTTGTGTGTGTGTTCAGTGTTTGTTGTGTGTGTTCAGTGTGTGTGTGTTCAGTGTGTGTGTGTTGTGTGTGTTCAGTGTGTGTGTGTTCAGTGTTGTCAGTGTTGTGTGTGTTCAGTGTGTTGTGTGTGTGTGTGTGTGTGTTCAGTGTTGTGTGTTTGTGTGTTGTGTGTGTGTTGTGTGTGTGTCAGTGTTGTGTGTTGTTCAGTGTTGTGTGTGTCATGTGTGTGTGTGTTCAGTGTTTGTGTGTTGTGTTGTGTGTGTTCAGTGTTGTGTGTGTGTTCAGTGTTGTGTGTTGTGTGTGTTCAGTGTTGTGTGTGTTCAGTGTGTGTTGTGTGTGTTCAGTGTTGTGTGTGTTCAGTGTTGTGTGTTGTGTGTGTGTTCAGTGTTGTGTGTTGTGTGTGTTCAGTGTTGTGTGTTCAGTGTTGTGTGTGTTCAGTGTTGTGTGTTGTGTGTGTTGTGTGTGTGTGTGTGTGTTGTGTGTGTTCAGTGTTGTTGTGTTGTGTGTGTGTCAGTGTGTTGTGTGTGTGTTCAGTGTTGTGTGTGTTGTGTGTGTGTTCAGTGTGTTAGTGTTGTGTGTTCAGTTGTGTGTGTGTTCAGTGTTGTGTGTGTTCAGTGTGTGTGTGTTCAGTGTGTGTGTGTGTCAGTGTGTGTGTCAGTGTGTGTGTGTGTTCAGTGTGTGTGTGTGTGTTGTGTGTTCAGTGTGTGTGTGTTGTGTGTGTGTTCAGTGTTTGTGTGTGTTTCAGTGTTGTGTGTGTTGTGTGTTGTGTGTGTGTTCAGTGTGTGTGTGTTCAGTGTGTGTGTGTGTGTGTGTTCATGTGTGTGTGTGTGTGTTGTGTGTGTTCAGTGTGTGTGTTCAGTGTTGTGTTGTGTGTGTTCAGTGTGTGTGTGTTCAGTGTTTGTGTTGTGTGTGTTCAGTGTGTTGTGTGTGTTCAGTGTTGTGTGTGTTCAGTGTGTGTGTTGTGTGTGTGTGTGTGTGTGTTCAGTGTTGTGTGTTGTGTGTGTTCAGTGTTGTGTGTGTTCATGTGTGTGTGTGTGTTCATGTGTGTGTGTGTTCATGTGTGTGTTGTGTGTGTTCAGTGTGTGTGTGTGTTCAGTGTTGTGTGTGTTGTTCAGTGTTGTGTGTGTTCAGTGTTGTGTGTTGTGTGTGTTCAGTGTTGTGTGTTGTGTGTGTTCAGTGTTGTGTGTTGTGTGTGTGTTCAGTGTTGTGTCAGTGTTGTTGTGTTCAGTGTGTGTGTGTGTGTTCAGTGTTGTGTGTGTTCAGTGTTGTGTGTTGTGTGTGTGTTCAGTGTTGTGTTCAGTTGCGTGTTGTGTGTTCAGTTGTGATGAGTTTGTTCTGTTTTTTTTAGGATTTAAAATGTTTCAAACTCTGATTTCAAACCAGAAAACGAGAGGAAACTGTCACATTTCACATTTTGACATAAAACCAGGATCAGTTCTTCACATGGAGGTGCTGGAAAGTCCTGGAAAATTAACTTTAGTCATGGAAAACTTTAGAAATGTTTTCAGTGAAAAAGAAAAAACCCTCAACAAATAACAACAACAAAGACGCACAAGAGTGTAGACCTGGTTTAGTCCTGGTTTAGACCTGGTTTAGTCCTGGTTTAGTCCTGGTTTAGACCTGGTTTAGACCTGGTTTAGTCCTGGTTTAGACCTGGTTTACCTGGTTTAGTCCTGGTTTAGACCTGGTTTAGACCTGGTTTAGACCTGGTTTAGTCCTGGTTTAGACCTGGTTTAGTCCTGGTTTAGACCTGTTTAGTCCTGGTTAGACCTGGTTTAGACCTGGTTTAGTCCTGGTTTAGACCTGGTTTAGTCCTGGTTTAGACCTGGTTTAGTCCTGGTTTAGTCCTGGTTTAGTCCTGGTCTAGACCTGGTTTAGTTCTGGTTTAGTCCTGGTTTAGACCTGGAATAGTCCAGAAACGACTAGAACATGGAGAAACATCTGATTTTTATTTTTTTTAAAGACAAAAACATTTAAACCTTTTAGACTTTTTAGACTTTTTGAGAAACACTTTTGTCGTTTTGTTTTCGGTTCGTTCATGAAACTGACGCGCACGTGGAGCTGAGGCGGATCAGCTGTTTGTGAACTACACTTCCCAGGATGCAGCGCGGTTTAAAGAGGAAGCGTGGATCTGAACTTCAAAATAAAAGTCTAAAGTCCGAACAGAGGCCGGACTCTGCGCTCGAACCCGACTTTTTTTCAGCCAAACGCGACAGAACCAAAGTCCCGATGTGAACCTGAGCGGAGACTAAAGCTCAGCCCCGTCACACCGCGCCGCGGGTCCGCCTCGTGCTCTTGCTCTGACAGAATGCCCGGATGCCCTCCCGTGACCCGTAAATCCCGTTAAATCCCGGCGGTTCCGCGGGGTTCGAGGCTGGAGCGGGACCGGGAGCAGGAGCGGCGCTCGGAGCAGGTGTCAGCCGGAGAAGAGCGCCTCTGTCCCGGCCCGGTGCTGCAGGTGGAGTCGGTGTCCGGAGCTCCGTGACCTGGCGGGAGCGCGCGCTGACCGTAGCCGCGTTTGGAGGCTCTTGAGCGGGGATAATCTGCGGATTTCACCGGGAGTCCGAGAAAAGACGGAGGAGGATTTCAGAGTTTAAATTTAATTCTGTTTCAGTGAAATATTTTCTGCACAAAGAGACTTTTTCATTTTTTTCATTTTAGTGCGGTGACCTTCACGTGCGCGTGTCTTATTTCATTAGGATCATCAGTGACACGTGACGCGTTCACACTGAACCCGGAGTCGATCCGCACAAACTCCGGACTGAGCCGCAGACGCGCGCGTTTCCACTCGTTTCCACTCGGGGGGTAAATCTGAAAAAACTCGCTCAGGGTTTTATTCATGAATGATTCTGTAGCGTTTAGAAGCAGCGAGTCTGCGGTGAGTCTGCGGTGAGTCTGCGGTGAGTCTGCGGTGAGTCTGCGGTGTGTCTGTGGTCTCAGGTCTGTGGTCTCAGGTCTGTGGTCTCAGGTCTGTCAGGAGGCCATAAAGTTCGTCTCAATAAAATCAAAGCCTGTTTTTTTACCAAAGATTTTAAGCAGCGTCAAAATCAGTTTGATCTGTTCATTTGACCAAATCCATTTTGTAATTTTACCCTCGAGCCAAAGTTGATCTGAAGTTTTAATTTGAGTTTGATGTCAATGCCAAAGATTCTGTTTTGTGCTAAATGTGTTTTTTAAACGTGAAACCAGGTCCAGCACTGTGAGTTTTTAAGTATTTAAACAATATTTGATCAGACTTTAATATTAGACAAAGTCAAACTTTGATACTTTTTAGGTAAAAAAAAAAAAAAAACTGCGTTTGGGCCAAAGATTCACAAAAGTGAAACTGCTCTTGGACTGTTCCTACTGGTCTACAGAAATCTACCTCCACCTGCGCTCAGGGGTCAAAGGTCAGGCCTGCGCTCAGGGGTCAAAGGTCAGGCCTGCGCTCAGGGGTCAAAGGTCAGGCCTGCGCTCAGGGGTCAAAGGTCAGGCCTGCACTCAGGGGTCAAAGGTCAGGCCTGCACTCAGGGGTCAAAGGTCAAACCTCTTCTTAAACTCTGACCTTTCAGGCGTTCAGTGTGAGGACACTGGAGTGAGGGATTGTGGGAAGTGTAGTCTGAGCTCTGCTCAACAAACTCTGACCCTGAGGACATTTCCTACGTCTGGAGAAGAAAATTTTGACTCCTCTGAGTCCGGCTCTGGACCTTCCAGCTGTTCAGTTAACCCTTTCAGCTGTTCAGTGAAACCTTACAGCTGTTCAGTGAAACCTTCCATGTGTTCAGTGAACCCTTGCAGCTGTTTAGTGAAACCTTCCAGCTGCTCAGTGAAACCTTCCAGCTGCTCAGGGAAACCTTCCAGCTGTTCAGGGAAACCTTCCAGCTGTTCAGGGAAACCTTCCAGCTGCTCAGTGAAACCTTCCATCCGCTCAGTGAAACCTTCCAGCTGTTCAGTGAAGCCTTGCAGGTGTTGAGCGTCATGTGTGATAAGACGGCGCCGCGCGGGCGTCTGCGTCTGGAGTGGGTGTACGGTTACCGTGGACACCAGTGTCGGAATAATCTGTTCTACAGCGCCGCCAAAGACGTCGTTTACTTCACCGCCGCCGTCGGCGTCGTCTACAACCCGAGAGAACACACGCAGCGCTTCTACCACGGACACACCCACGACATCATCAGGTAAGCCCCGCCCACACCCACCACACCGTCAGTAAGCCCCGCCCACACCCACGACATCATCAGGTAAGCCCCGCCCACATGGAGCGTGTCATCAGGTCAATCCTACAAAATTTCTAAAGTGTGTGATGTAATATTCTCAAAATTACTGTGTGTTTTGTGTGTTTTGTGTCTTGTTGTGTCTTGTTGTGCGTCTTGTTGTGTCTTGTTGTGTCTTGTTGTGCGTCTTGTTGTGCGTGTCGTTGTGCGTCTTGTTGTGCGCGTTCAGCCTGGCGTTGCACCCGGACCGCGTGCTGGTGGCGACGGGGCAGGTGGGGGCGGAGCCTGTGGTCTGTGTGTGGGACTGTTACTCCACGTCCACCGTCTCCGTCCTGCAGGGGGCGCACGACCACGGAGTGTCCGGCCTTGGATTCAGTGCTGACGGACAGGTGAGGACCGACCCCACCCTCAAACCTGGGCCACACCCCCTCGCACCTGGGCCACCCCCTCGCACCTGGGCCACACCCCCTCGCACCTGGGCCACACCCCCTCACATCCAGGCCACACCCCCTCACATCCAGGCCACACCCCCTCACACCCTTCGCACCTGGGTCACACCTGGTCCTGGTTTAGACCTGGGTTAGACCTGGTCCTGGTATAGACCTGGTTCAGTCCTGGTCCTGGTCTGTGTCTCTGTTGCAGAGGCTGGTCTCGGTCGGTCTGGACTCTAAAAACACCGTCTGTGTTTGGGACTGGAGACGAGGTCGAGTCCTGGTCTCGGCCTCGGGACACTCGGACCGGGTGAGTCCTGGTTTAGTCCTGGTCTAGTTGTGGTTTAGTCCTGGTTCAGTTCTGTGTTTCTCCTCAGATCTTTGACGTGAGTTGGGATCCTGTTCAGCCCGACCGACTCGTCACCGGTGGAGTCAAGCACATCAAGGTACAGGAGCGCACCTGACACACATGAGGACACCTGACACACATGAGGACACCTGTCACACATGAGGACACCTGACACACATGAGGACACCTGACACACATGAGGACACCTGTCACACATGAGGACACCTGTCACACATGAGGACACCTGTCACACATGAGGACACCTGACACACACGAGGACACCTGACACACACGAGGACACCTGACACACACGAGGACACCTGACACACACGAGGACACCTGACACACACGAGGACACCTGACACACACACACGAGGGCACCTGACACACATGAGGACACCTGACACACATGAGGACACCTGTCACACATGAGGACACCTGACACACATGAGGACACCTGACACACATGCGGACACCTGACACACATGAGGACACCTGACACACACGAGGACACCTGACACACACGAGGACACCTGACACACACGAGGACACCTGACACACATGCGGACACCTGACACACATGAGGGCACCTGACACACATGAGGACACCTGACACACATGAGGACACCTGACACACATGAGGACACCTGACACACTCGGGGAGGGTCCTGACACACTCGGGGAGGGTCCTGACACACTCGGGGAGGGCACCTGTCACACATGAGGACACCTGACACACATGAGGACACCTGACACACATGAGGACACCTGACACACTCGGGGAGGGTCCTGACACACTCGGGGAGGGTCCTGACACACTCGGGGAGACTCGGGGAGGGCACCTGTCACACATGAGGACACCTGACACACATGGGGACACCTGACACACATGAGGACACCCGACACACATGAGGACACCCGACACACATGAGGACACCCGACACACTCGGGGAGGGTCCTGACACACTCGGGGAGGGTCCTGACACACTCGGGGAGGGACCTGACACACACGGGGAGACTCGGGGAGGGCACCTGTCACACACGAGGGCACCTGACACACAGGAGGACACCTGACACACAGGAGGACACCTGACACACAGGAGGACACCTGTCACACACGAGGGCACCTGACACACACGGGGAGGGCACCTGACACACACGGGGAGACTCGGGGAGGGCACCTGTCACACACGAGGGCACCTGACACACACGAGGGCACCTGACACACACGAGGGCACCTGACACACACAGGAGGACACCTGTCACACACGAGGACACCTGTCACACATGAGGGCACCTGACACACACGGGGAGACTCGGGGAGGGCACCTGTCACACACGAGGGCACCTGACACACACGAGGGCACCTGACACACACGGGGAGGGCACCTGACACACACACGGGGAGGGCACCTGACACACACGAGGGCACCTGACACACACGAGGGCACCTGACACACACGGGGAGGGCACCTGACACACACGGGAGGGCACCTGACACACACGAGGACACCTGTCACACATGAGGGCACCTGACACACACGGGGAGACTCGGGGAGGGCACCTGTCACACACGAGGGCACCTGACACACACGGGAGGGCACCTGACACACACGGGGAGGGCACCTGACACACACGGGGAGGGCACTGACACACACGGGGAGGGTCCTGACACACACGGGGAGGGTCCTGACACACACGGGGAGGGTCCTGACACACACGGGGAGGGTCCTGACACACGTTGGGGCCTGTGTGACTGTGTGCAGTTCTGGCGTGTGTGCGGCGGCGAGCTGTCGTGGCGGCGCGGCGTTTGGGGGCGGGGCCTGGAGCACACGGTTCTGTCGTTGGCGCTGAGAGACGACGTGACGCTGTCGGGCGCCGTGAGCGGAGACGTGCACGTGTGGAAGGACCAGACCCTGATCCGGACCGTCCCCAACGCACACGACGTGAGTCCGGGACCAGGACCGAGACCAGAGACCAGAGACCAGAGACCGAGACCAGAGACCAGAGACCAGAGACCAGAGACCAGGACCGAGACCAGAGACCAGAGACCAGGAGAGACCAGAGACCAGGACTGAGACCAGAGACCAGGACTGAGACCAGAGACCAGGACTGAGACCAGAGACCAGAGAGACTGAGACCAGAGACCAGAGACCGAGACCAGAGACCAGAGACCAGAGACCAGAGACCAGAGACCAGAGACCAGAGACCAGAGACCAGAGACCAGAGACCAGAGACCAGAGAGACCAGAGACCAGAGACCAGGACCGAGACCAGAGACCAGAGACCAGAGACCAGAGACCAGAGAGAGACCAGAGACCAGAGACCAGAGACCAGAGACCAGAGACCAGAGACCAGAGACCAGGAGAGACCAGAGACCAGAGAGAGACCAGACCAGAGACCAGAGACCAGAGACCAGAGACCAGAGACCAGAGACCAGAGACCAGAGACCAGAGACCAGAGACCAGAGACCAGAGACCAGAGACCAGAGAGAGAGACCAGAGACCAGAGACCAGAGACCAGAGACCAGAGACCAGAGACCAGAGACCAGAGACCAGAGACCAGAGACCAGAGACCAGAGACCAGAGACCAGAGACCAGAGACCAGAGACCAGAGACCAGAGACCAGAGACCAGAGACCAGAGACCGAGACCAGACAGAGACCAGAGACCAGAGACCAGAGACCAGAGACCAGAGACCAGAGAGAGACCAGGAGAGACCAGAGACCAGACCAGAGACCAGAGACCGAGACCAGAGACCAGAGACCAGAGAGACCAGAGACCAGAGACCAGAGACCGACCGAGACCAGAGACCAGAGAGACCACCGAGACCAGAGACCAGAGACCAGAGACCAGGACCGAGACCAGAGACCAGGACCGAGACCAGAGACCAGAGACCAGAGACCAGAGACCAGAGACCAGAGACCAGAGACCAGAGACCAGAGACCAGGACCGAGACCAGAGACCAGAGACCAGAGACCAGAGACCAGAGACCAGGACCGAGACCAGAGACCAGAGAGACCAGAGACCAGAGACCAGAGACCAGAGACCAGAGACCAGAGACCGAGAGACCAGAGAGACCAGAGACCAGAGACCAGAGACCAGAGACCAGAGACCAGAGACCAGGACCGAGACCAGAGACCAGAGACCAGGACCGAGACCAGAGACCAGGACCGAGACCAGAGACCAGAGACCAGAGACCAGAGACCAGAGACCAGGACCGAGACCAGGACCGAGACCAGGACCGAGACCAGGACCAAGACCAGAGACCGAGACCAGAGACCAGAGACCAGACCAGAGACCAGAGACCGGTCTGTGGTCTGTGGTCCGGTCTAACCCTGGTCCGGTCTGTGGTCCAGGCGGGGATCTTCAGTCTGCAGGTCGGTGATGAGGGTTTCTGCAGTGGAGGACGAGACGGCTGCGTCCGACTCTGGGACCAGGACTTCAACCCCCTGAGCCGGATCAACCTGAGAGACAGTCCCCACGGAAACCCAGGTACTGGACCAGGACTGGACCAGGACTGGACCAGGACTGACCCCGGTCTAAACTCGGTCTAAACTCGGTCTAACCGGGTCTGTGGTCCCTCAGGTCTCTGTGTGCGAGCCGTGTGTTGGCGAGGAGACCGGGTCCTTGCTGGGACTCAGGACGGGGAGATCTTTGAGGTCCAGACCCGAGACCCGGACCGGCCTGTGGTCCTGATCCAGGGCCACCGCGAGGCCGAGCTCTGGGCCCTGGACACTCACCCCAAACAGCAGGTGGCGCTGACGGGCGGCGACGACCGCTCCATCAGGTACAAAACCAACCGCACAAACCAACAAAACCAACCGCACAAACCAACAAAACCAACCGCACAAACCAACAAAACCAACCGCACAAAACCAACAAAACCAACAAAACCAACAAACCAACAAAAAACCGCACAAACACAACCAACCGCACAAACCAACAAAACCAACCGCACAAACCAACAAAACCAACCGCACAAACCAACAAAACCAACCGCACAAACCAACCGCACAAACCAACAAAACCAACCGCACAAACCAACAAAACCAACCGCACAAAACCAACAAAACCAACCGCACAAACCAACAAAACCAACCGCACAAACCAACAAACCAACCGCACAAACCAACAAAACCAACCGCACAAACCAACAAAACCAACCGCACAAACCAACAAACCAACGCACAAAACCAACCGCACAAACCAACCGCACAAACCAACAAAACCAACCGCACAACCAACAAACCAACACAAACCAACAAAACCAACCGCACAAACAACAAAACCAACCGCACAAAACAAAACCAACAAAACCAACCACACAAACCAACAAAACCAACTGCAACAAAACCAACCGCACAAACCAACAAAACCAACCGCACAAACCAACAAAACCAACCGCACAAACCAACAAAACCAACCACACAAACCAACAAAACCAACCGCACAAACCAACAAAACCAACCGCACAAACCAACAAAAACCAACCGCACAAACCAACAAAACCAACAACCAAACAACAAAACCCAACCGCACACACAAAACCAACCGCACAAACCAACAAAACAACCGCACAACACAACAACGCACAAACCAACAAAACCAACCGCAAAAAAACAAACAACCCACAAACCAACAAACAACCGCAACCACAACAACCGCAAACCAACCACAAAACCACCGCAAAACCAACCGAAAACCAACAAAACCAACCGCACAAAACCAACAAAACAACCCAAAAACCAACAAAACCAACCGCACAAACCAACAAAAACCAACCGCACAAAACAACAAACCAACCGCACACAAACAACCAAAACAAAACCAACCGCACAAACCAACAAAACCAACCGCACAAAACCAACAAAACCAACCGCACAAACCAACCGCACAAACCAACCAAAAACAACAACCGCACAAAACCAACTGCACAACCAACAAAACAACACAAAATCCAACCAAACAACCGCACAAAACCAACCGCACAAACCAACAAAAACCAACCGCACAAACCAACAAACCAACCGCACAAAACAACAACCGCACAAACCAACAAAACCAACCGCACAAACCAACAAAACCAACCGCACAAACCAACCGCACAAACCAACAAAACCAACCGCACAAACCAACCGCACAAACCAACAAAACCAACCGCACAAACCAACAAAACCAACCGCACAAACCAACAAAACCAACAAAACCAACCGCACAAACCAACAAAACCAACCGCACAAACCAACAAAACCAACTGCACAAAACCAACCGCACAAACCAACAAAACCAACCGCCAAAACCAACCACACAAACCAACCGCACAAACCAACAAAACCAACCGCACCAAACCAACAAAACCAAACCGCCACAAACCAACAAAACAAAACCAACAAAACCAACCGCCACAAACCAACAAAACCAACCGCACAAACCAACAAAACCAACCGCACAAACCAACAAAACCAAACAAAACCAACGCACAAACCAACAAAAAACAAAAACCGCAACAAAACCAACCGCACCAAACCAACAAACCGCACAAACCAACAAAACCAACCGCACCAAACCAACCGCACAAAACCAACCGCAAAACCAACCAAAACCAACCCACAAAACCAACAAACCAACCGCACAAACCAACCGCACAAACCAACAAAACCAACCGCACAAACCAACAAAACCAACCGCACAAAACCAACAAAACCAACCGCACAAAACCAACCGCACAAACCAACCGCACAAACCAACAAAACCAACCGCACAAAACCAACCAAAAACCACCAAACCAAACCAACCGCACAAACCAACCGCACAAACCAACAAAACCAACCGCACAAACCAACAAAACCAACCGCACAAACCAACCGCACAAACCAACAAAACCAACCGCACAAAACCAACAAAACCAACCACACAAACCAACAAAACCAACGCACAAACCAACAAAACCAACCGCACAAACCAACAAAACCAACCGCACAAACCAACAAAACCAACCGCACAAAACCAACCGTATAAAACTGAAACTATATATAATTACACAAAATTATACAAAACAAAAGTGTAACTCTACATTTATTTGTGTATTTGACTGGAACAAACACGACACAACATGAACGTGACGCACACCGACTGTCGCCTCATTTACACCCACTGACCCAAAGGGCAAAGGTCACAGCGGCCAAACTAGAAAATATTGCACAGTGTCGTTATTGCACAGTGTCGTTATTGCACAGTGTCGTTATTGCACAGTGTCGTTATTGCACAGTGTCGTTATTCTTTTTGTGATGCTCTGAACCTGTAAATCTGTGTCTGTGAAGTTCAGTTCAAATTAAACTGAACATGAGACGAGTCTGATTTGATCAGAAACAGTTTTTCATTTGAGCTTTAAAAGAGCAAATACAAAACTATAACTACACAAAAGCATACAACAGAACACACACTCTATACACACACACACTCTATACACACACACACACCACGGGTCCAAATTTTTAGAACAGCACTTGAAGTGTTTTTCCAGTGTTTATATGTGTGCACAAGTGTGTACTGACAGTGTGTAACAGTGTGTTTGAAAGTGTGTACTCGACAAAGTGTGAACGGAAGACAAGTGTGTACTTGATAGTGTGTACTTGATAAGTGTGTACCAGTGTGTACTTGACAGTGTGTAGTGTGTACAGTGTGTACTGTGTACTTGACAGTGTGATACTTGAAGTGTGTACTTCAACAGTGTGTACTTGTAGTGTGTACATGTGGGTACTTACAGTGTGTGTACTTGTAGTGTGTACTTGACAGTGTGTACTTGATAGTGTGTACTTGACAGTGTGTACTCGACGTGTGTAAGTGTGTACTTGTACAGTGTGTACTTACAGTGTGTACTAGTGTGTACTTGACGTGTGACAGTGTGTGACTTGGTAGTGTGTACTTGACAGTGTGTACAAAGTGTGTACTTGATAGTGTTGACAGTGTGTACTTGACAGTGTGTACTTGACAGTGTGTACTTGTGTGACAGTGTACTGGTAGTGTGTGACTTGGTAGTGTGTACTTGACAGTGACAGTGTGTACTTGGTAGTGTGTACTTGTGTGACATGTGTGTGTACTACAGTGTGTACAGTGTGTACTTGACAGTGTGTTACAGTGTGTACTTGACAGTGTGTACTTGACAGTGTGTACTTGGTAGTGTGTACTCGACAGTGTGTACTTGATAGTGTGTACTTGACAGTGTGTACAGTGTGTACTTAGTGTGTACTACAGTGTGTGACAGTGTTGACAGTGTGTACTTGACAGTGTGTACTTGACAGTGTGTACTTGACAGTGTGTACTCGACAGTGTGTACTTGGTAGTGTGTACTCGACAGTGTGTACTTGGTAGTGTGTACTTGACAGTGTGTACTTGACAGTGTGTAGTGTGTACTTGACAGTGTGTACTTGACAGTGTGTACTTGACAGTGTGTACTTGGTAGTGTGACTTGGTAGTGTGGTACTGTGTACTGTGTACAGTGTGTGTGACAGTGTGTACAGTGTACAGTGTGACAGTGTGTACTTGACAGTGTGTACTTGGTAGTGTGTACTTGACAGTGTGTACAGTGTGTACAGTGTGTACTTGGTAGTGTGTACTCGACAGTGTGTACTTGGTAGTGTGTACTTGGTAGTGTGTACTTGACTTGGTAGTGTGTACTTGACAGTGTGTACTTGGTAGTGTGTACTCGACAGTGTGTACTTGGTAGTGTGTACTCGACAGTGTGTACTTGGTAGTGTGTACTCGACAGTGTGTACTTGGTAGTGTGTACCAGTGTGTACTTGACAGTGTGTACTTGGTAGTGTGTACTGTGTACAGTGTGTGTACAGTGTGTACTTGTAGTGTGTACTGTGTAGTAGTGTGTACTTGTGTACTGTGGTAGTGTGTGACAGTGTGTACTTGGTAGTGTGTACAAGTGTGTACTACTTGGTAGTGTGTACTTGGTAGTGTGTACAGTGTGTACTTGGTAGTGTGTACTTGGTAGTGTGTACTTGGTAGTGTGTACTTGACAGTGTGTACTTGGTAGTGTGTACTTAGTGTGTACAGTTGTACTTGTAGTGTGTACTCGACAGTGTGTACTTGGTAGTGTGTACAGTGTTCGACAGTGTGTACTTGGTAGTGTGTACTTAGTGTGTAGTGTGTACTTGATAGTGTGTACTTGGTAGTGTGTACTTGGTAGTGTGTACTTGACAGTGTGTACTTGGTAGTGTGTACTTGGTAGTGTGTGTACAGTGTGTACGACAGTGTGTGGTAGTGTGTACTCGACTTGGTAGTGTGTACTTGATAGTGTGTACTTGGTAGTGTGTACTTGGTAGTGTGTACTTGACAGTGTGTACTTGGTAGTGTGTACTTGGTAGTGTGTACTCAGTGTGACTTGTAGTGTGTACTCGACATGTGTACTGTGTACTTGTAGTGTGTACTTGTAGTGTGTACTTGGTAGTGTGGTACAGTGTGTACAGTGTGTCGACAGTGTGTACTTGGTAGTGTGTACAGTGTGTACTTGGTAGTGTGTCGACAGTGTGTACTTGGTAGTGTGTACTTGGTAGTGTGTACTCGACAGTGTGTACTTGGTAGTGTGTGCTTGACAGTGTGTACTTGACAGTGTGTACTTTGCCTCTGAGGTTGTGGAGTTTGGTGGACCACGTGCTTCTCGCTCGCTGTGATCTGGACGAGGGCGTTCGAAGTGTGACCTTTCACCCCGATGGCTCCGTCGTGGCTCTCGGGCTCAAGGACGGCTCCTTCTGTGTGCTCAGGGTCAGGTGAGACATGCACACTATACACACACACACACACACACACACACACACTATACACACTATACACACACTACACACACACACACACTATACACACACACACACACACACACACACACTATACACACACTATACACACTATCACACACACTATACACACACTACACACACACACACACACTATACACACACACACACACTATACACACACTATACACACACACACACACACACACACACACACACAACACACTACACACACTATACACACTATACACACACACACACATACACACACACTATACACACACTATACACACACACTACACACACACACACACACACACATACACACCACTATACACACTATACACACACACACACACTACACACACACACACACTTCACACACACACACACACACACTATACACACTATACAACACTATACACACTATACACACATACACACACACACTATACACACACACACACACTATACACACACTATATACACACACTACACACACTATACACACACTATACACACACTACACACACACTATACACACACACTATACACACACACACACACACACACACTATACATACACACACTATACACACTATACACACACTACTACACACACTATACACACACACACACACACACACTATACACACACTATACACACACTATACACACACTATACACACACTATACACACACTACACACACACTATACACACACTACACACACACTACACACACACTATACACACACACACACACACACACACACACACTACACACACACACCACACTACACACACGTACAGAGACATGTCGGAGGTTGTGCGTGTGTGTTATTGTTGTGTTGTCGTACAGAGACATGTCGGAGGTTGTGCGTGTGTGTTATTGTTGTGTTGTCGTACAGAGACATGTCGGAGGTTGTGCGTGTGTGTTATTGTTTGTGTTGTCGTACAGAGACATGTCGGAGGTTGTGCGTGTGTGTTATTGTTGTGTTTGTCGTACAGAGACATGTCGGAGTGCGTGTGTGTTATTGTGTGTTGTCGTATTGTTGTGTTGTCGTACAGAGACATGTCGGAGGTTGTGCGTGTGTGTTATTGTGTGTTGTCGTACAGAGACATGTCGGAGGTTGTGTGTGTGTGTGTTATTGTTGTGTTGTCGTACAGAGACATGTCGGAGGTTGTGTGTGTGTGTGTTTATGTGTTGTGTTGTTGTGTTGTCGTACAGAGACATGTCGGAGGTTGTGTGCGTGTGTGTTATTGTTGTGTTGTTGTGTTGTCGTACAGAGACATGTCGGAGGTTGTGTGCGTGTGTGTTATTGTTTGTTGTTGTGTTGTCGTACAGAGACATGTCGGAGGTTGTGTGTGTGTTATTGTTTTTGTTGTGTTGTCGTACAGAGACATGTTGAGGTTGTGTGTGTGTGTGTTATTGTTGTGTTGTGTACAAGAGACATGTTGTGTGTTGTGTTGGTGTACAGAGACATGTCGGAGGTGTGTGCGTGTGGTGTTATTGTTGTGTTGTCGTACAGAGACATGTCGGAGGTGTGTGGTGTGTGTTATTGTTGTGTTGTCGTACAGAGACATGTCGGGTTTGTGCGTGTGTGTTATTGTTGTGTTGTCGTACAGAGACATGTCGGAGTTGTGCGTGTGTGTTATTGTTGTGTTGTCGTACAGAGACATGTCGGAGGTTGTGCGTGTGTGTTATTGTTGTGTTGTCGTACAGAGACATGTCGGAGGTTGTGCGTGTGTGTTATTGTTGTGTTGTCGTACAGAGACATGTCGGAGGTTGTGTGCGTGTGTGTTATTGTTGTGTTGTCGTACAGAGACATGTCGGAGGTTGTGCGTGTGTGTTATTGTTGTGTTGTTGTGTTGTCGTACAGAGACATGTCGGAGGTTGTGTGCGTGTGTGTTATTGTTGTGTTGTTGTGTTGTCGTACAGAGACATGTCGGAGGTTGTGTGCGTGTGTGTTATTGTTGTGTTGTCGTACAGAGACATGTCGGAGGTTGTGCGTGTGTGTTATTGTTGTGTTGTCGTACAGAGACATGTCGGAGGTTGTGCGTGTGTGTTGTTATTGTTGTGTTGTCGTACAGAGACATGTCGGAGGTTGTGCGTGTGTGTTATTGTTGTGTTGTCGTACAGAGACATGTCGGAGGTTGTGCGTGTGTGTTATTGTTGTGTTGTCGTACAGAGACATGTCGGAGGTTGTGCGTGTGTGTTATTGTTGTGTTGTCGTACAGAGACATGTCGGAGGTTGTGTGTGTGTGTTATTGTTGTGTTGTCGTACAGAGACATGTCGGAGGTTGTGTGTGTGTGTGTTATTGTTGTGTTTGTTGTCGTACAGAGACATGTCGGAGGTTGTGTGTGTGTGTGTTATTGTTGTGTTGTCGTACAGAGACATGTCGGAGGTTGTGTGTGTGTGTGTGTGTTATTGTGTGTTGTCGTACAGAGACATGTCGAGGTTGTGTGTGTGTGTGTGTTATTGTTGTGTTGTCGTACAGAGACATGTCGGAGGTTGTGCGTGTGTGTTATTGTTGTGTTGTCGTACAGAGACATGTCGGAGGTTGTGTGTGTGTGTGTTATTGTTGTGTTGTCGTACAGAGACATGTCGGAGGTTGTGCGTGTGTGTTATTGTTGTGTTGTCGTACAGAGACATGTCGGAGGTTGTGTGTGTGTGTGTGTTATTGTTGTGTTGTCGTACAGAGACATGTCGGAGGTTGTGTGTGTGTGTGTGTGTTATTGTTGTGTTGTCGTACAGAGACATGTCGGAGGTTGTGCGTGTGCGTGAGCGTCGTGAGGTCGTCCATGAGCTCAGATTCTCTCCAGACGCCGCCCTGTTGGCCGTCGGCTGCAACGACGGATCTGTGGACATCTACGCAACAGCACAAAGGTACACACACCGTACACACACACTACACACACACACACACACACTATACACACACTGTACACACACACACACACCGTACATACACAGATCATTTTCAGAACAGTAAAAGTGGTGTTTTAAATGTGTCGTGTGTAAATCCAAACTCTTGGTGCGAGTGAAAATGTTCCAGAGTCAATCTTTACTTGAGGAGTTTAGGTTTTTCTGTTTTTTATTAGTTTTGCTGTAAAAGTATCGATAAATCCTGACGATAAATCTTCATGTGGATTAACTTCTTGGGTTCTTTTTAAAGACAATGCAGAACAGTGTGTTTAACTTAAACGTTCTGTCGTTGTTGTTGTTCAGGTATAAGAAGGTGGGCGAGTGCAGAGGAACAGCTGCAGGGTTCATCACTCACCTGGACTGGTCTGTGGACAGTCGAGTTCTGCTCACCAACGACGGAGCCGGAAACAGGAACTTCTACAGGATGCCCGGTAAGACCTGGACTGGACCTGGACTGGACCTGGACCTGGTCTGGACCTGGACCTGGTCCTGGTCTTGGTCCTGGTCCAGTCCCGGTCCTGGTCCAGTCCTGGTCCTGGTGTGTTTCAGGGGGCCGGCAGGTGGA